CCCCAAAACCCCAAAACCCCAAAACCCCATGATGAATAATTTTTAGCTTTTTAAACTATATTTCAAAATCGAATCCAATTCTTTATTAATTTAAATGATAAAAAATCAAACCTCATCTTCGAATGAAAACTCATCTGACTCAGATAATTTAATCTGCTCAAGTTGCTATCTTTCTATTTTTTCTCTCTGCTTTAATTTTCTCTCTTAAATATATTGATAAAGAAGAGAAGTTAATCCTGCGCCAATCAGAGAATAAGAAATAAGATATGCATATAACTTCCAGTTCCAGTGATTATCGACATGGTTAGATCTTGCTAAGCCTACTCTTTAATTATCAATATCAAATACTGAATAGTAATTTTGAATGAATATATCACCTAATATCCAATAATTACTAAACATCTAATTTTGTGGCACAACTTTTATAAAGCAAGTAAACCCGCTCTTCTACACGTAAGATGATGAGGGAATGACATATTTTTAATCATCAATAACTATGTCAATATCTGGGAAATCTTTATAATTTTCCATCCAACATTTGCAAACGTATACTTTAGTACCTAAAGCATCAAAATAGCAAGATCTATCTTTGCTAATAATCTTCGTAAATACCTAGAAATCTCCTTCTGGCAATAATATATAAGAACTTCCTGAATCAACTATCGCTGAATTTGAAATTTTGTTTAAAGCCTAATCACTTATAGTTGCTGAAGACATATTAACAGTCCAAAAATTGTTATTTACTAAATTATGCCATCTTAATTGTTCACCCTCCTTTGCATATCTCATATTATACCCTCCAAATAGAATATGAGGGTTTTCATCACTTGCTCCAATTATCATTGAGAACATTCTTCTTTCAATAAGGCCTCCATCTACCAGTTAGCTGATGAGATTATCTACACTATTCTCAAAGTTCTTAGGAGATAGTCCTAAGACTCCATCTGCTTATAGACCATGAAAATCTCTTGCTTCAGTAACAAGTTTAAACTTGACTTCATTCATACAAAAATTGTTTTTGCTATTTGATAGGCAAATTACATCTGTCGAGTTATATCCATAGACTTCACCTGCTCCATAACTTATATGATCACTAACACTAGTTTCTTTAAAATATGTAAAGGACTAAGATTAATTGTAAAGATCTGCAAGATGCGGACAACCGATACAATCGGCTGCAGAAATCCAAAGTGATGATGATCCAGTGTCGAATATCACACTTATTGGGATAAGATTAGATCCGATATACAACTTTGCAAAGTATTGAATATTATAGTAGTTTTCTAATGGGACTTTTATTGTTTTCTGATAATCTTTAACATTTTCCCCAAGATTTAAAGATTTTACTTCTTACGCTTTTGATTTCGGAAGACTGTTTGCATTTTCATATGCTCTTTCATCATTGTACTGGTCGTCAAAGATATCTTTAAAATCATTGGTCTGGTGTATTGGACTCTTCTCAAGTCCTAGTACTATAGCTAGAGAGCCCAAAAGTAACTTAATTTAACTAATTTTCATTAATTTTAATATTTTATTTATTTATTAATATTTATTTAATTTTATGGAAGCTGAAGAGGGGTTCTCAGGAGATTTATTTTTCGATGATGGCTCTCATCAACCGATAGTTGAGACATATAAATTCTAAAAGTCAGGGGTTTAAATAAATATAGAACAAATGGAAAAAGAAAATTAATAGTTAGCTGTTGGAGTGCCATTGGTGGTATGGGGAGCATCAATAACTCTAAGTAATTGGATTGATGAAAATTTTGAGAGATTACCAACTAATATATCGAATTGCCTAGAACTTGGTAGTGGAACTGGACTTTTAGGAATATATACACTTAAAAGAATCTTTAGTAACTATCCTGAAACAGAGACTAGTATTCATATGACCTTCACTGATATGGAATAATCTGTAAGTATTTCATCTTAAACTTCATTATCATTTAGTCCTTAGAATTGATTGAGAAAAACATGGATTTAAATAAAATAAGCAAACTTAATGGGAAAGCATCTTATTTCAAATGGGGAGATTTCACAAACGAATTCACTGACTCTGATTAATACGATTTAATTGTTGGATCAGATATTATTTATAGTGATAGAATTCTTGAACCTTTAGCATAATCTATATCTCATCTCCTTAAGAAAGGGGGATTAGCACTTATAGCAAATAACAGTATAAGATATGATATTTAAGCAATCGAGTTCGAGAGGCAGCTAGCACTTAAAAATTTAATTATTGAGGAAAAGGTCAATATCAAGGATAATTTCGCGTAAATGAGGCTATTGATAATTAGAAAATGATTGCTAAAAATAAAATGAAATATGGAGGTCTCTTGTTTTGATTAAATTTAATTAAAATTAATTATGCTAATAATTTAAATATAATATTAAAATTTCAATGGCTTAAGTTGCTAAAAAAACTACTCAGAAGCTAATATATAATCGCTCTGTTTACACAAGAGGTTTAAATTTTCAGGGATAATTAGGAATAAAAAACAAAGGATTCTTTATTGATCCTTACACTCCAATTCCTGAGCTATAAGGCTCAAATATAAGACAATTGATATCAGATCACTCTTAGAATATAGCTATTTATGATGGTAACAATAAATTCTCCAAGATAATAAAATTTTTAAGATAATCAATTACTGTTTTGGGGATGGCCATTGTGCACAAGAACTACTTATAGGTTTTTGGAAAATTATGAGAAGTTCCCAAGATTGCTCAGAGCTATTTAGAGATACACACCATTTTTCAGCAATGGAATAGATCAACCTAGATGTGAAGCAGCATTTGTTAATCCAATACTAAAAGCTCAAATGGGTTGTGGTTATATTTCAATTATTGATAGTTCTTTAAAAGTATTTAGCTGGGGAGATAATTACGCTGTATGTTATGCAAAAAGATTTTTGTAATATATTATATAGGGATAACTTGGTCTTGGTGATGATATTCATAGAGATTCTCCTGTTTTGGTTGACACTTTGAGCGATCATCGAATTGTAGATATGTCCTTAGGATTCTAGCATTGCCTGTATCTAAATGATATTGGAGAAGTTTTTGGGATTGGCAGAAATAATAGATTCTAGCTAGGTAGATAAAAGGATTCAAACAATCAAAATCAGGAAATATTTGATAAATATCAGGGTGCAGTCAAGCTTGATTACTTCATTGAACCTATAGTATAAATTGGAGCAGGCAAATTTCACTCAGTATTTTTGACTGGTATTTATTACAGTATAATTGATTCATTTAGAGTCAAATAAGCTTTATACAGTTGGATTTAATAAGTACGGATAATGCGGGATATCAAATTCCCTTTTTATGCATTCTGAGGATCCAGTAGAAATATTCACAGATAATCTAAGAATAAAGGAGATTTCAGTAGGATCACATCACACATTAATTTTATCTGAAGACAATAGACTTTATGGTTTCGGAGCTCGAAAGAATGGTTAGTTAGATGGTACTAACTATGGTAATTTTATTTATTTAAAACTATATAGATGGAAGAGAGGAATAATGCAGTATAGTTGAGATTAAATTACCAACTGATAAGAAAATTGTCAAGTTTAAGGCTTCAAATCTCAGAAATTATATTATCACAGAAGACAATTAAGTGTGGTTTTGGGGAGGCTATATATATTAGAACTATTAAAAGTTGTGCATTGATGATTTTAATCTGCTAAATGAAGAGGAAGGTATACCGAAGGGTAAAAAGATTATAGATTATGGGCTTGGATTTGCTCATGATACTGTTTTAATAGAAGAGGATGAACCTAAGATAAAGATTTAATTAGTTATTGATGAGTAAAGTATTTGAATTTTTAATTAGCTATTTAATTGTTCTTAGGTTATAAACAGAGATATAAAATTTTAGGGGTTTTGGGGTTTTGGGG